AGCAGGAGAAACTAGGAATCACTTTTCCTCTCGTAGATATGGTAAGGTACATGATATCCCACGGTACATTAAGGGGATTAAAACATCAACCCTCGACAGTTACCAGGCACAAAAATTCAGAAAAAGAGAGACGAAGTTTTGATGCAAGAAAACTTTATTGTACCCAAAGGGGTAGGAGAGACTATCAAAGACCTAGTATGCAATTCTGAGAGATATTGGCTGCCCTGCCTTAGGGGAAGCAGAGGGGTCTTCTCCAAAGCATGGCTTCTGGTTTCGAATGCCCCACTGGTGAGGCATTCCAGATCCCCAGGACTTGACACATCAGACCTTCAGGGCCATATGCGTGAAGATCCTGCCTGAAGTAACAGCAGACAAGAGAGGAGAGGGGAAGTGAGCAGAAGGCAGGAGAAGAGGACAGTGATAAGGGGAGGGCATGTGGCATTGCCATAAGACCAGGCTTTAGCCAAGGCTGAGGATGCTAAGCACTCCTAAGGGCTATCTGCACACCATCTCACCACTGAAGGGGTGGGGGTGAGGGTGGCTTGGCTCTAGCAGGAGCCACAGGAGTTCCAGGGCCTCTGGATGTAGCGGGGCAGAGCCAGAGGGCTGCAGGCGGCAGGAGCGTAGGGTCTGCCAAAGGTGCAGAGACCCCCCAAGGCCTGAGTGGCCCCGGCACTGTAGAGGCCTCCCAGCCCCAGGTTGCCTCCAAAGGCGGGTGCTCCGGAGGAGCCCACCACGGCTTGCTGAGGGAAGGAGCTGAGGATGGGGCCGGGGAAGGTGACAACCACAGGCGGTGGCTGGATGAAGGCTGAAGAGTCGGGACACTGGCGGGCACACAGCTCGTTGCAGCTCTCAGCGATGGGCTGGGGGACGGCCACGCTGGTTCTTGGTGGGCACAGGTCGTAGCAAGACATCTTGGTGTGAGAAGAGAGGTGAGCCTGCAATACCAAGCAGGGGTGTCATGAGTGAGGGCTTGATCCTTCCTAGTTAAGAATCACTGTTCTTCTCATGCTACCCTGCAGATACAGGGGCCAGAGCCACGGCCTTGCCTGCACTGCCCAATGCTTGTCTTTCACCCGTCCATTCCCCATCTACGACCTATTCTTCACGCACAGAGTGCGCACAATCCCTTCCCCAGAGCCTGTGCTGATCCTGGCTCTGCTTGTCCTCGCCAAGCGGCTCCATCCTCCCTCCTGCCACCATCATTTAGGGCTGTCTGCCGCCCCCCCCCAGCCTGCTCCCCGGATCGCCACTGTGCCAGACATCTCCTGGATAGGGAGAGACTAACCGGACTCAACCACTGGAAGCAGAGCCCCGCAGGCACTCACCTACCCTTTTCCTGAGCAGAGCAAGGCAGGAGCGATGGATGCCAGTGCTCACCCTGGCCAGGGCTTTTATGCCTGGCTGGCGAGGGAGGGGAGCAGCGGCCGCGCTGGGGGCACGTGGCTCATGGCGGCCAATTCGCGGCCTCCTCCCTGCGTGGTGCGGGGCTGTTTTGCTGATGCCGTTTGCTCACCAGCCCCAACCCGCTCTATCAGCTCCAGCAATTACCCTGCTTGGTCGCTTGACAGCTGCCACCTCATGGGTCAGATTGTCCCCACTGGCTTTTCATTATCTGCGTGTGTTAGAGGGCACGCAGCGTGACAAAGGCTGACTGCAAGTGCCATGCGTGCCATGGCTCTTCCTCACGGGCTTGACCTCAGAGTGGCCTCAGGCCTTCATTGCAGAGCCACAGGGCATACGAGGGCGCTGAGCAAGAATTTGCCTTGTCAAGGCCTCCCGCACGCCAGTGACAGTGTGATGTGTTCCCAGCATCCATTATCTGCAGAAGCGTGAGGTTACGAAATGTCAAATCAAAGGCATTCCTGTGGGGATCCGCCTGCTCAGCACTGAGTATCGCTGCCTGCTAAGAGCAAGGGAGCGGGCTCCCATATGCCTGCAGGCACTGGCCATTGACCTCTGCCAACATGGGCCAACAAGAGTCCTCATGCTCTTCTTTCCTGAGGTGCGTGGCATAATGAGCACAGATCCCCACTCAGGCCCAAGAATCGGAGGATGTGGCCAGCCCCGACCCAGAAGGTCCTTGACAGAGTTGAAGGAACACTGCTGTGTGTGGGAGATGTTAGCTCTCATGTAGCCCGCAGAGCAGAATGGGGAGGGAAGGAAACCTGGAAGCAGAATGTGCTGTTCTGGCAAGGGGATGCTGACTCAGGGAGGGGCAGGAGCCAGACAGCCCTGTCATCATAGGACACAAGGTGTTACCAATTCTGCAGATTGGCCCAGGCAATGCTGAGCCATGGCAAGGCTGGTATAAAAGCCGTGCCTCTGCCATTCTCTCCCAACCACCACTCTGGTCTCCTTCTCCTTGAGGAACAGGGTAAGTCTGTGAGCGCTTGTCCTTCTGGCCCTGTGCACCAGCCCCAAGGTCTCCCTCTTGGGAGTTACCCTTTGCTGCTCTCTTACAACCTCTAACTCTTGCAGAGCACCATCCCATCGCACACCAAGATGTCTTGCTACGACCTGTGCCCACCGAGAACCGGCGTGGCTGTCCCCCAGCCCATCGCTGAGAGCTGCAACGAGCTGTGCGCCCGCCAGTGTCCCGACTCTTCAGCCTTCATCCAGCCACCGCCTGTGGTTGTCACTTTCCCCGGCCCCATCCTCAGCTCCTTCCCCCAGCAAGCCGTGGTGGGCTCCTCCGGAGCACCCGCCTTTGGAGGCAACCTGGGGCTGGGAGGCCTCTATGGTGCCGGGGCCACTCAGGCCTTGGGGGGTCTCTGCACCTTTGGCAGACCCTACGCTCCTGCCGCCTGCAGCCCTCTGCCTCTGCCCCGCTACAGCCAGAGGCTGTGGGACACCCGAGGATCCTGCTAGAGCCAGGTCATCTCCACCATGCCCATTCTGGGGTGAGGTGGCATGCACGGGCTACTGAGGAGTGCTGACCATCCTCATCCCTAGCCAAGGCCTTGGTAGCTGCCACTGTCGCATGCCCTTCCCTTATCCTTGCCCTCTTCTGCTCTCTGCTCTCCTCCCGTTTCCTCTCTCGTCTCAGCTGGGGCAAGATCTGCACGTAAAAGGCCCTGAGGGGGCTGATGGACCAAGTCCTGGGGATCTGGAATGCTTCAGCAAGGCAGTATGCCAAGCTTGAAGCCCTGCTCTGGAGACATTGCCTCTGCTTCCTCCAGCAAGTGGTTGTCAGCCTCTCTGGGATTTGCCCTCCGGTTCAGTGACAGTCTTTCCAGCCCCGCTGGGCACAATAAAGGTTTCCTGCATCTAAGCTTTGTCTCCCTCCCTTCTTCTCCCAGCTGGGGAGACCATGGAGGCAGGTTCCAGGCAACTGTGGGAGGGCAAATGCTGGTGCTGAGATGCCCATCTTAGGTGAGGGTGGGTGCTGGTTGGTCATGAAACGTTCAGGCAGGATGGAGAAAAGCTTTTGGTGGGTCTGGCAGGAGCCGGAGAGAGGGCAGAGATCTAGATAGGCTCAGGCAGTGCTCTTGTGCCTGCTCTCCGCCGCCTGGGAGTGGCACCAGCTCCAACAGGTTGCAATGCTCTGCAGAAACAATACAGCATTTCCAGGCATCTGCAGAGGGGAGACTTGGCGAGAGAGAGTATTAAACCCTGTGCCAGCAACGTGGCATGAGTTGTGAAGAGCAGTTTGTCAGGAAAGGCCCTGGGAGTGCATAGGGACACCATGGGGAGCAGGATCAGAAAACATGCCTTGGCCAAAAGTGTTCAGCTGCACCCTGTGTTACAAACATTATATGTAGTGGAATCCTGCTTTTCTGGAGATGGCTGTACATCTGCTGTTGACGGCAAGCAGGAAAATGTTGTCAGGACAGGGAGTATCTGTCCTGTGGCAAGGGCATCAGAGAGCTAGCTTAAATACTGCTCATACAGAGGATGCTCACAGGGTCTAATCAGTGCTCACACAGGTCTGAAGTTAAGCTGTCAAGCAGCAGGAGTTAGGCTCTTTTCAGAGGTGTCCAGTGCCAGGACTACAGGAAATGGGTTCCAGGGAAACCTCAACTACCCAAGGCAGTTTTTCACGGTGAGGATGAGCAAGCACTGGAAGAGGTTGTCGTGGATCTTATGGAGTCTCTGTGCTTGGAGGTGGACAATAGCCTCTGGACATGGTTCAGGGCAGCCAGATCCAGGTGATCTTGCAAGAAGCAGCAGCATGACAAGATGCTTTCCTTGCAAAACACACTCCCACTTTCATCAAGCTGTGATTCTTGTGCTTAAGTGTGTGCATCAGGGAAACAAGTTGGCTCAACCATGTTGGTCTGTGCTTGGAGTGAGCAAGAGAAAAAGAGAAGGAAGGGGAAGAAGAAGAGGGAATAAGCAGAAGGGTAAAGGGAGGTAGAAGAGGGAAGTGGTGGAATAACACAGGGTGAAATGACCCAGAGAAGGGGAGAATAGATAGGCAAAGGAAAAGGGGTAGGAAAAGGGACAGGAAATGGAATTGAAGGCCCTCCATCTGCTTTCTTCCGCAGCAAATCAAGCAGAGCCAAGGAGGCACGCAGGGCTGGAGTCACTGCAGACATTGCCCCGGAGCGCCTCTAGTCCCTGGTGCAGAGCCAGTCATGCGCAAGGAGGCTGGAGGTCTGCAGACGCCTTGGGCCTGCGTGTCCCCTGGCAAGGGAGCAAGCGCATTCAGCCTGGGCTCCTGGAGCTCAGCTGTGGGGCTGTGTGTGTCAAGAGCTCCCGAAAAGCAGCTAAGCCTGGCTTTGCTGCTGCTGGGGCTGGGAGACTACCATGGCCTGTCTGGCAGAGCTCTGAGCAGGACGGGGAAAGCCGGGTAGCCCAGGCTGGTCTGTGAACAGAAAGGTGCAGAGGCAGGCATTGGATGCAGGCTTGTTTTATTGCAGTGGAGAAAGACACACAAGGCAGAAGTCGGAAGGTTTTCCTTCACGGCTTCTGGAGAGGTGGTCCTTCAAAGTTCTCCCACCAGGAGGCTGCTTATAGACAAGGAAGTTTCTTGTGGGTTTCTGGTGGATTAATGCATTTGGGCACAGGCAGGAGTAAGGGGGAGGAGAAGTGTCATTGAGAGAGGGAAAGCAAGGTAAGAAAAGGAGGAGGCCTAGGGGTGAGTTGCCCCAGGAAACGTGGAGAATATGGGGCTGGCTCTAGCAGGAGCCACAGGAGTTCCAGGGCCTCTGGCTGTACCGGGGCAGAGACAGAGGGCTGCAGGCGGCAGGAGCGTAGGGTCTGCCAAAGGTGCAGAGGCCACCCAAGGCCTGAGTGGCCCCGGCACCGTAGAGGCCTCCCAGCCCCAGGTTGCCTCCAAAGGCGGGTGCTCCGGAGGAGCCCACCACGGCTTGCTGGGGGAAGGAGCTGAGGATGGGGCCGGGGAAGGTGACAACCACAGGCGGTGGCTGGATGAAGGCTGAAGAGTCGGGACACTGGCGGGCGCACAGCTCGTTGCAGCTCTCAGCGATGGGCTGGGGGACGGCCACGCTGGTTCTTGGTGGGCACAGGTCGTAGCAAGACATCTTGGTGTGAGAAGAGAGGTGAGCCTGCAATACCAAGCAGGGGTGTCATGAGTGAGGGCTTGATCCTTCCTAGTTAAGAAGCACTGTTCTTCTCATGCTGCCCTGCAGATACAGTGGCCAGAGCCACGGCCTTGCCTGCACTGCCCAACGCTTGTCTTTCGCCCGTCCATTCCCCATCTACGCCCTATTCTTCACGCACAGAGTCCGCACAATCCCTTCCCCAGAGCCTGTGCTGATCCTGGCTCTGCTTGTCCTCGCCAAGCGGCTCCATCCTCCCTCCTTCCACCATCATTTAGGGCTGTCTGCCCCCCCCCCCAGCCTGCTCCCTGGATCGCCACTGTGCCAGAGCTCTCCTGGATAGGGAGTCCCTCACCGGACTCAACCACCGGAGGCAGAGCCCCGCAGGCACTCACCTACCCTTTTCCTGAGCAGAGCAAGGCAGGAGCGGTGGATGCCAGTGCTCACCCTGGCCAGGGCTTTTATGCCCGGCTGGCGAGGGCGGGGAGCAGCAGCCGCGCTGGGGGCACGTGGCTCATGGCGGCCAATTCGCGGCCTCCTCCCTGCGTGGTGCGGGGCTGTTTTGCTGATGCCGTTTGCTCACCAGCCCCAACCCGCTCTATCAGCTCCAGCAATTACCCTGCTTGGTCGCTTGACAGCTGCCACCTCATGGGTCAGATTGTCCCCACTGGCTTTTCATTATCTGCGTGTGTTAGAGGGCACGCAGCGTGACAAAGGCTGACTGCAAGTGCCATGCGTGCCATGGCTCTTCCTCACGGGCTTGATCTCAGAGTGGCCTCAGGCCTTCATTGCAGAGCCACAGGGCATACGAGGGCGCTGAGCAAGAATTTGCCTTGTCAAGGCCTCCCGCACGCCAGTGACAGTGTGATGTGTTCCCAGCGTCCATTATCTGCAGAAGCGTGAGGTTGCGAAATGTCAAATCAAAGGCATTCCTGTTGGGATCTGCCTGCTCAGCACTGCGTATCGCTGCCTGCTAAGAGCAAGGGAGCGGGCTCCCATATGCCTGCAGGCACTGGCCATTGACCTCTGCCAATGTGAGCCAACAAGAGTCCTCATGCTCTTCTTTCCTGAGGTGCGTGGCATAATGAGCACAGATCCCAACTCGGGCCCAAGCATCGGAGGATGTGGCCAGACCCCACCCAGAAGGTCCTTGACGGAGTTTGGAGATGTTTGGAGGAACACTGCTGTGTGTGGGAGATGTTAGCTCTCATGTAGCCCACAGAGCAGAATGGGGAGGGAAGGAAACCTGGAAGCAGAATGTGCTGTTCTGGCAAGGGGATGCTGACTCAGGGAGGGGCAGGAGCCAGACAGCCCTGTCATCATAGGACACAAGGTGTTACCAATTCTGCAGATTGGCCCAGGCAATGCTGAGCCATGGCAAGGCTGGTATAAAAGCCGTGCCTCTGCCATTCTCTCCCAACCACCACTCTGGTCTCCTTCTCCTTGAGGAACAGGGTAAGTCTGTGAGCGCTTGTCTTTCTGGCCCTGTGCACCAGCCCCAAGGTCTCCCTCTTGGGAGTTACCCTTTGCTGCTCTCTTACAACCTCTAACTCTTGCAGAGCACCATCCCATCGCACACCAAGATGTCTTGCTACGACCTGTGCCCACCAAGAACCAGCGTGGCCGTCCCCCAGCCCATCGCTGAGAGCTGCAACGAGCTGTGCGCCCGCCAGTGTCCCGACTCTTCAGCCTTCATCCAGCCACCGCCTGTGGTTGTCACTTTCCCCGGCCCCATCCTCAGCTCCTTCCCCCAGCAAGCCGTGGTGGGCTCCTCCGGAGCACCCGCTTTTGGAGGCAACCTGGGGCTGGGAGGCCTCTACGGTGCCGGGGCCACTCAGGCCTCGGGGGGTCTCTGCACCTTTGGCAGACCCTACGCTCCTGCCGCCTGCAGCCCTCTGCCTCTGCCCCGCTACAGCCAGAGGCTGTGGGACACCCGAGGATCCTGTAGGGCCAGGTCATCTCCACCATGCCCATTCTGGGGTGAGGTGGCATGCACGGGCTACTGAGGAGTGCTGACCATCCTCATCCCTAGCCAAGGCCTTGGTAGCTGCCAGTGTCACACGCCCTTCCCTTATCTTTGCCCTCTTCTGCTCTCTGCTCTCCTCCCGTTTCCTCTCTCTTCTCAGCTGGGGCAAGATCTGCACGTAAAAGGCCCTGAGGGGGCTGATGGACCAAGTCCTGGGGATCTGGAATGCTTCAGCAAGGCAGTATGCCAAGCTTGAAGCCCTGCTCTGGAGACATTGCCTCTGCTTCCTCCAGCAAGTGGTTGTCAGCCTCTCTGGGATTTGCCCTCCGGTTCAGTGTCAGTCTTTCCAGCCCCGCTGGGCACAATAAAGGTTTCCTGCATCTAAGCTTTGTCTCCCTCCCTTCTTCTCCCAGCTGGGGAGACCATGGAGGCAGGTTCCAGGCAACTGTGGGAGGGCAAATGCTGGTGCTGAGATGCCCATCTTAGGTGAGGGTGGGTGCTGGTTGGTCATGAAACGTTCAGGCAGGATGGAGAAAAGCTTTTGGTGGGTCTGGCAGGAGCCGGAGAGAGGGCAGAGATCTAGATAGGCTCAGGCAGTGCTCTTGTGCCTGCTCTCCGCCGCCTGGGAGTGGCACCAGCTCCAACAGGTTGCAATGCTCTTCAGAAACAATACAGCATTTCCAGGCATCTGCAGAGAGGAGACTTGGCGAGAGAGAGTATTAAACCCTGTGCCAGCAACGTGGCATGAGTTGTGAAGAGCAGTTTGTCAGGAAAGGCCCTGGGAGTGCATAGGGACACCATGGGGAGCAGGATCAGAAAACATGCCTTGGCCAAAAGTGTTCAGCTGCACCCTGTGTTACAAACATTATATGTAGTGGAATCCTGCTTTTCTGGAGATGGCTGTACATCTGCTGTTGACGGCAAGCAGGAAAATGATGTCAGGACAGGGAGTATCTGTCCTGTGGCAAGGGCATCAGAGAGCTGGCTTAAATACTGCTCATACAGAGGATGCTCACAGGGTCTAATCAGTGCTCACACAGGTCTGAAGTTAAGCTGTCAAGCAGCAGGAGTTAGGCTCTTTTCAGAGGTGTCCAGTGCCAGGACTACAGGAAATGGGTTCCAGGGAAACCTCAACTTCCCAAGGCAGTTTTTCACGGTGAGGATGAGCAAGCACTGAAAGAGGTTGTCGTGGATCTTATGGAGTCTCTGTGCTTGGAGATGGACAATAGCCTCTGGACATGGTTCAGGGCAGCCAGATCCAGGTGATCTTGCAAGAAGCAGCAGCATGACAAGATGCTTTCCTTGCAAAACACACTCCCACTTTCATCAAGCTGTGATTCTTGTGCTTAAGTGTGTGCATCAGGGAAACAAGTTGGCTCAACCATGTTGGTCTGTGCTTGGAGTGAGCAAGAGAAAAAGAGAAGGAAGGGGAAGAAGAAGAGGGAATAAGCAGAAGGGTAAAGGGAGGTAGAAGAGGGAAGTGGTGGAATAACACAGGGTGAAATGACCCAGAGAAGGGGAGAATAGATAGGCAAAGGAAAAGGGGTAGGAAAAGGGACAGGAAATGGAATTGAAGGCCCTCCATCTGCTTTCTTCCTCAGCAAATCAAGCAGAGCCAAGGAGGCACGCAGGGCTGGAGTCACTGCAGACATTGCCCCGGAGCGCCTCTAGTCCCTGGTGCAGAGCCAGTCATGCGCAAGGAGGCTGGAGGTCTGCAGACGCCTTGGGCCTGCGTGTCCCCTGGCAAGGGAGCAAGCGCATTCAGCCTGGGCTCCTGGAGCTCAGCTGTGGGGCTGTGTGTGTCAAGAGCTCCCGAAAAGCAGCTAAGCCTGGCTTTGCTGCTGCTGGGGCTGGGAGACTACCATGGCCTGTCTGGCAGAGCTCTGAGCAGGACGGGGAAAGCCGGGTAGCCCAGGCTGGTCTGTGAACAGAAAGGTGCAGAGGCAGGCATTGGATGCAGGCTTGTTTTATTGCAGTGGAGAAAGACACACAAGGCAGAAGTCGGAAGGTTTTCCTTCACGGTTTCTGGAGAGGTGGTCCTTCAAGGTTCTCCCAGCAGGTGGCTGCTTATAGACAAGGAAGTTTCTTGTGGGTTTCTGGTGGATTAATGCATTTGGGCACAGGCAGGAGCAAGGGGGAGGAGAAGTGTCATTGAGAGAAAGAAAGCAAGGTAAGAAAAGTAGGAGGCCTCGGGGTGAGTTGCCCCAGGAACCGTGGAGAGTATGGGGCTGGCTTTAGCAGGAGCCACAGGAGTTCCAGAGCCTCTGGCTGTAGCGGGGCAGAGGCAGAGGGCTGCAGGCGGCAGGAGCGTAGGGTCTGCCAAAGTTGCAGAGGCCCCCCGAGGCCTGAGTGGCCCCGGCACCGTAGAGGCCTCCCAGCCCCAGGTTGCCTCCAAAGGCGGGTGCTCCGGAGGAGCCTACCACGGCTTGCTGGGGGAAGGAGCTGAGGATGGGGCCGGGGAAGGTGACAACCACAGGCGGTGGCTGGATGAAGGCTGAAGAGTCGGGACACTGGCGGGCGCACAGCTCGTTGCAGCTCTCAGCGATGGGCTGGGGGACGGCCACGCCGGTTCTTGGTGGGCACAGGTCGTAGCAAGACATCTTGGTGTGAGAAGAGAGGTGAGCCTGCAATACCAAGCAGGGGTGTCATGAGTGAGGGCTTGATCCTTCCTAGTTAAGAAGCACTGTTCTTCTCATGCTACCCTGCAGATACAGGGGCCAGAGCCACGGCCTTGCCTGCACTGCCCAATGCTTGTCTTTCGCCCGTCCATTCCCCATCTACGCCCTATTCTTCACGCACAGAGTCCACACAATCCCTTCCCCAGAGCCTGTGCTGATCCTGGCTCTGCTTGTCCTCACCAAGCGGCTCCATCCTCCCTCCTGCCACCATCATTTAGGGCTGTCTGCCCCCCCCCCAGCCTGCTCCCCCGATGGCCCCTGTGCCAGAGCTCTCCTGGATAGGGAGAGACTAACCGCACTCAACCACCGGAGGCAGAGCCCCGCAGGCACTCACCTACCCTTTTCCTGAGCAGAGCAAGGCA